GGGGGAGAGAGGCACTATGAGAATACATCATCCGCAAACGCTGGGAGGTAGAAGTTAGCATTAGGAAAGCGGCATATCAATTTGGAGAACAAGGGAAACGAGGGAACTTACCTTTGATGTCAATTTTTGAGAGCAACACGACGGGAAGCACATAGCTGGAAAGAGCTATGGAAAACTTTGGCGGAGAGCTTTGGGGGAGAGTGATGTCGATTGAGTAGTAGATGTGAGATATCGATTGAGGAGCGAAAACTACAGGCTTATATGTAACCACGTGAGCAAACGGAGGGCGCTAAACGGAGCTTAACGTTGAGGACTGTAGCAACGTAAAAATGCCCAAGTTAACTTCCTTATGCAATTTATATATAAGGATATATATATATATATATATATATATATATATATATATATATATATATATATATATATATATATATATATACACACACACATATATACATATATATATATATACCCGTAATTTCCAACCCTGCGAGATACTAAAAACCGAGCCTTGAAAACACTTCTAAAACCTTCCCCTTCGTGAGAGGAATCCAACGGACAAAGAATCGTAGAAAACGATCGTGAAACGAGGGAGAAATCGCTCGCCGGAGTTGGCCGGACTGTTTTCCGTCGAAAACTGCAACTACGTCGCCGGACGTCTGACGTCTCCCAAACCCACCGAGGAGCATCTACGTTGGCTAAAGATTGCACCACCGATGCCTTCCCGCTGGTGCGTTGTCCGGTAAATTACCCTACCTAGCTTCGCCGTTCTTCTTTTCTCCCCGGCATAGTAGATCACCTTCGAAGAAGACGAATAAAACTTACGCAGCATTATTTGTTTAGATTTAAAGCATGGGCTTGACTGTTTTAATTAGTGGATGGGCTGACTTGATTTTTTTGCATTCGGGCCGGTCTGAACTATTAATAATAATGGACTGATCTAGTACCTTAAATAAAATTGGATAGATTTTAGTTACACTAATAACTAAACTAGTTAAAGTAGATTAATAGGGAAGTCAGATATTTTAAGTATTAAGATTAAATTAATATATCCGATAAAATTATTGATTAGTAAATTTAAAACAATCATATTATTATTCATGATAATTCGGGTAATGAATTAATAGTATATGGCCAAATTTAAAATAGTAATAAATAATAAAGTGGAAGGAGTGATCAAAGTGACTAGTTAAATAAATAAGTTAAAATAATAATATATAAGGGGAAATTGAATAAATTATTGAAAATGGAATAAGTGACTAATTATATCATCTACATAAAAAGGTGATTATTAAGAGGCCGGAATTGAGGAAGAGAATTAGGAGCATCATGACTTAAGGTAAGTTTCTCTGCCAATCCAAAATTGTGTCCTCGTATTATATGCTTATTATGCATTATGTGATTAAGTGTGAATTGTGAATTTTGTGTATGTGATTTTGAGGAGATATTATATATATGGTAGTTGAGAAATATAAATTAAGAGTACTTTTTGGGGTATTAAATATTTTTAAATACCTTTGAGATTATTTAGAGAGATTGAGAAATATTTTTTTGAAGTATATCTAAAGCCAAGATAAAATTTACGTTTTCATAAAAGGTAAGCACCGCGGGAGAAATCCGCGGTGTCGGTTTTCCACATCCGGATAAATGTGGAGGGTGATTAGAGCGGCTACTACTAAGAAGAGATTTTTGAGTAACTTTTGGATCGATGATCCCTTTTAAGAAGGAGAGTTGTGGTGGTGGTAGTAGTAGTTCCGACGTAAAAGGGTTGCTACTGTTAAGGGTGATGATAAGTTTTGAGTGATAATTGGATCGATGATCCCTTTTAAGAAGCAGAGTTATAGTAGTAGTCACTAATCATTCAATAATTTTAAAGGTGGGGTGGTTGGGTTCCGACCACTCGAGATGACTTACTACTCGGAGGGCTTGGAATCCCTTTTAGGGGGTGTGCACACTTAAGGTAGTCGTTTCGTTTCCGCAAGAGCAGTTGTGGTACCGGCATTTGTTCGGGGTGGCCGTCCGTAACCACGGTCCACCGGGCTCAGTCGAAAGGTTGAGCACCGCCCTTCTAAATTACTAGGAAGTTAGAGGAGAAGATTTTTTTTTGAGAAGTTCAAAAAGAAGAGTTACAATAATATTTTCGAAGAAAAGTTGAGAATGTTAGTAAAGAAGTAATTTTAAGAAAAATTCAAAGAGAAAAGAATTTTGGTGGAGTGAGTTCTTTTTATATAAGTATTATATAAAAATTATTTTCACCAAACCTGATTATTTTACGGGGTTGGGCAGTACTTACTTAGCTCTAAAGCTAATTTTGGTTTTCTTTCTTTTGTTTTGTTTCTGCACTTTCTTTGTGCAGGTGATGATGGTTATGTTGACTGCTGAATGCATGCGCCTGAGAGTGAATTAGAAGTTGCCTTAGTTAAATATAGTTATGAAATAAATATTTATTAGTTTTTATTGTTTTGTTTTGGTTGCCTGTGCATCCGGCTGAGAGATGACCGGATGTGGCGGTAACACTCATTTCCCTATTAAGACTGCCGCTGTATCTCTGATGTTTTCAAATAAAGTTGATAATTCCTTTGAATAAATCATTATTTAAATGTATTTTTTGGGCGGGAAAAATGGGGGTGTTACAATGCACCACCACCAGCGCCCCTTCCAACCACAGTTTTCATGTCACTGCGGTTTTTCGTGTTACTGTGATTTGTCACTGGCAAATTTTAATGTCATTTACGGATGTCATTGTCATCGGAAAATATGTCACTGTGAGCATTTCCGCTCCGCGAAATTGTTGCCGCCAACACCGCGACCGATCAGCCAACACCCTGACCCCCACACCCAGCTCCCGCACACCCGACAACCATCACCGATGACGGCCACGACCTAATCGTGATCACATTTGCCCCTCCCCAGCCCACCAGGCCCCTCCCCAACCTACTAGCCCCTCCCGAGCACACCGCCGCCCCTCACCCCCCTTCGCAGCCGACCCAACCCCTCCCATCCCCCTCCCCAGCCCACCAGCCCCCTCCCCAACCTCTATCCCTCTTTAGCAACCCACTTTCGCTAGCTCCAACATCCCACCTTGCCCTCAGCTTCGAATCTAGGGTTTCATGGTGATTTGGGGGGTTGATTTTGCAATTCGAAACCCTAGCAATTAGATACGAAGAAGAAAGACGAAGAGGTGCAGTGAGAGAGGATCTTCTTCTTTGTTGCAACAGAGGAGGGCTGTGTGATTCGTCGATGAAGCTCGGCACCGATGGAGAGGTCATGCTGGAGAAGAAGAATGATGCGGGGGACGGTTGTGAGCAGAGAAGGCAAACTACACGATACTCCCTCCCTCCTTAACACTTGATCAATTGCACGTAGATTAATAAAATAAAAACTATGTGATTGATATTTATGCAAATGATAAATAAATAACTTAAACCACTATGTTAACTTATCTGACAGGGAGTATGGACTATGGAATATGGAAATGACAAATTTGTTGGGATTGACCAAAAAAGAAAATTAACCAACCCACTGCCGGATGAAGTTGATTCATTGATCACAACCCAACCCATCGCACTGTCTCAACTCGAGAATTCAATATCCAACATTTTGGTGTCGCCCGCTAAGCAAACTCTGAAATCTATATAATATAATAAAGCAAACCCCTAAAGAACAATTTAGAGGAATTGTTGACATGTGGCAACATCCTTTGAATGACAAATGACATGTGGCAACACAATAAATTAAAGAAAACTATTCAACTTTCAAAACTCTACTCTCATGTACTCCAATATTTAACTATGTATATATGTATTTATATTTAGGGAGTGAATTCAGTACTAACTGTGCTTATTGTGCTAACTTTGTGCAATGCATCTTTGTGCTATTTTTATTGGATATATTATTATGCCATGAAATACATAGTTGCATATTAACGTTTAAAGTGTTGCATCCGAAAAAAGTTTAATTTTATTACCAAAATGCCGTTGTGCGTTTTCAGCCTTTAGATCAACTCAACGGATGGTCGACATGAGTTTGTATTTTGTAAATTAAGAGGAGTTTGTATATGATCCCTTATCAATATTTATATATGTGTATATTTTTTTCATAATGTTCTGTATAAAATTAGGTAGAACTTTATGCTCGCCAATAGTATAAAATGCAAATACTCAAAAATAAAAATAATTAACAATTTTTAGCCTCTCTTAAAATAAATATATTACTCTCTATTTCTTTTCCCAAAATTTGATAACTATTAAATGGTATTTTACAAAAGAACTCATTGTAAAAAATAAAGGTTCACTGCAAAATAAAGGTTGTTCAATTAGATCTTTTGAGTAAATATTTGTAAAAAATGATTATTAATTGTTAAAAAATATTTTCAACTATAACATAAAAATATGCTAGAGTAATTTGTTTGAATAATTATTATAGAAATAATACTTCAACAATGGTTGTAAAATATTAAGTATTTTTGAAAATATTTTTTGGTGATAATCCATTAATATTGAAGACAATGAAAGTAAGAATTAGATATTTATATTTTGGTAAATCGCAACTTGCATGAGTCAACTCACTTAACCTGCAACCTTTGCAAGTTGACCTACAAAATCGGTAAGTTCATCCGGTTAAAAAGTGATGGCTCTAAAGCAACGTGAAATGGTATCAAATAGGCTAACCTTATAGACATCTTTTCATTCTAACAAGGATGTTTTTACTTGGACTGTAATTTGTTGGTCTGGTCTGGTCTGAACTGGTCTGGTCTGGTTTTTTTGTATTTTTATAACTATCCAAGTCTGGTCTGGTTTTTTTGTATTTTTATAACTATCCAAGTCTGGTCTGGTCTGGTCTGGTCTGGTCTGAACTGGTCTGATCTGGTCTGATCTGATCTGATCTGGTCTGGTCTGGTCTGGTCTGATCTGATCTGGGACGAATTAAAAACATCCCAACTCTAACCATAGTCGAATAAATTTTATTTTAAACTCTTGTTTGATGAATTCTCGTACTATTCATTTCCCCGTATTAAAAACATGAAGGCATGTTTAGTGAGTTGTGCAGTGCACGGGTACATGCGCTAGTATTTTTAATATTTTGCAATCCAGAAGCTTTTTTCACCTGAATAGCATCGCAACACACACAATCTGGGAATGTTTACTTCGAATTTTGGGGTTGCAGCAGCTTTGTGTGGTCACAAACCCGTATTTCCGAAACTTAAAAGTTCATATTTTACAAATGAAAGTTGTGATGATCACCTGCTTGGTGGCTTCAATTTGGTGGGGATTCCAAGTGCCAAACAAAGAAAAAGATGCGTTTCTTCTCAGTTAAAATTGGTGGGTAGGGGAGATATTAAAGCAGTAGAGGGTGATAGCAGGTACGATGCGATCGTGATAGGATCAGGGATTGGTGGTTTGGTGGCTGGGACTCAATTGGCCGTGAAAGGAGCCACGGTTTTGGTACTGGAGAAGTATGTGATTCCTGGTGGGAGCGCTGGGTTTTACCACAGAGATGGTTACACTTTTGATGTTGGATCTTCTGTCATGTTTGGATTCAGTGATAAGGTTAGTCCACTTTGTTTCATTTTAAATGGAAACATAAGCATTGAAACTTCTAAGGAAACATACATTAAGGCTATCTTCAGAACCAGGAAAATGGCAGGAAAGGGAAAGAAGAAAGTACAAAAATACTAAGGCCATTTGTTGTTTGTTTTTAGCTTGAAAGTACGAGGGAAAATCAAATTTGATCAAATCATTTTCGAATTTTACACATATTTAGATTTCTCAGCCTTTATATAGTAGAAATATTTAAATAAATTTAGTTCGAACAAATATAATATATTGAGCATGAAACATTTTTTACAAAATGTTTTCCTTACATTTTCTCCTTCCAAATTCCCTATTTATTTTTACTCCCCTGCAATTTCCTAGTTTCAAACAGACCCCAAGTGCTTGCCTAATGCTGGAACATCTTGTTGAGCACACGGTAAAATTGAAATAGGTAGTATTTATAGAGTATATGAGTCTGGACCCTTACTATTTGGCTTAAATTATTTCCCATGTACATCCTTGAACCTAGCGCTATATATGAGCTTTGGACGTGAGAGTGGATTCTCAGACTCGACTGGACGAACCCTGATCTTGGCAGCAGACATTGGCATAGGCTCGGCACAAGAAGACAAACATGAAGTAGCTGAATAGAGTGCAGAATCACACCAGCCTGCCCATCTGATTTGAGATCCAAGGAGAGAGGCCTCATGTCATGGGAGCGATATATGTCATGTGCTTAGATAGTTAGCCAACACCTGTCGTGCATCCAAGCATCAAGACACGTGTTGGACATGCGAGTAGCCTATACTTATCATTGTATGTCTATAAATACCTCTGATGGGACTGAGGCAAGGGTTTTGAACTTGATGGTACCGAAACAGCTGACAACCTGAACCGACAAAAATCGAAATGACCTTGATCCTAGATTGATAAAAGCCGACCAAACATTGATGGTTTGGTTCATGGTTTTAGGTTTATCCATAACCAACCGACCGAGCCAAGTAGAAGTGTAGAACTGACTAAAACTGACACAAACCAACTGAAAATAACTGAATGAAACTTAGTAAAGGTACTTTGTTTGGTTTTCGATTTCACATTTCGCGAAACTAAAAATTGACCAGACCAAAAACCTACAAAACCGAACCGTCGAACGAACCTATTAGGGATATTGTCACTGCTTATTAGAAATGAAGCAAGGTAGAAGCAGAAATGAAATCATCTTAATTAGAATCAGGTATTACAGACTATTTATACAAGCTCTAGTCATAGCTAGCATAACCGAAGCCTAACAGAAAGCAGTTACATTGCTTTTACAAAGAAATACATGTGTAGTTTTCCTACACTATTCCTAACATTCCCCCTCAAACTGAGGGTGATTGAGTTGGAAAATCAATCACACTGAGTTTGCTTCTGAGCTCAAGAAAGGTGGAAGCAGATAGAGGCTTGGTCAACACATCTGCAATTTGGTGGGAGGCTGGAATATGAAAAACTTCAAGCTGTTTGAGTTGGACTTTCTCCCGTACAAAGAAAAGATCAATTTCAGTGTGTTTTATGCGAGTGTGCAGAACAGGATTGTGAGCTAGTTGCACTGTACTGAGGTTGTCACAGTAGATTCTGGGAAGAATGAAAGGAGCTTGAAGTTTTTTGAGTATAAATTGAACCCATAAAATTTCTGATGTAGTATCTGTTGAAGATCTGGCTACCCTTAGTTGTTTTCTAGACCACCAAGAAATAATATTAGGGCCTAGAAAAATGCATGACCCAGATGTAGACTTCCTGTCTGTAGGATCTGATGCCCAATCAGCATCACAGAAAGCTATGATAGGTAGAGGTGTTTTTGTCAAGGGAAGAGGTTTGATCAGTAGTCCATGAGTGATGGTTCCAGAAAGATATCTCAGAATATGCTTCACAGCTTTCCAATGTTCTTGTAAGGGATTAGCCATGAACTGACACACTTTATTTACAGCACAGCTGAGTTCAGGTCTAGTTAAGGTAGCATACTGTAAGATTCCAACAATGGGTGGAATCTTACATCTGTAATGAGAGGGATAAGGAAGATGATCATTCCCTTCACTGGTGAGCTTACAGGTACTCACCATGGGTGTTTTCACACCCTTGGAATCAGTCATTCCAACTTTGTGAAGAAGGTCTCTGATGTACTTGGTTTGGGAAAGATGCAAGCAACCATTAGGTAGTTTTCTGACTTGAATGCCCACAAAGAAATCTATGTCTCCCAGATGTTTGAGAGAGAGACGAATGTAAGGCTTGAATGATTTATTGTATAACAGTGGAGTTATTACCAATGACCAGAATATCATCAACATAGATTAGGATGTAGATTTGGATTCCAGTCTTGAGGTAGATAAGAAGAGAAGGATCACATTTGCTTTGTTTGAACCCAGCATTATACAGAACAGAAGTGAGCTTGTGAAACCAAGCTCTTGGAGCTTGTTTTAGGCCATATAAGGATTTATGGAGTCTGCAAACAAGGGAGGTGTCCTTAGCTTGAAAACCAGGGGGTTGAGACATGTAAACCTCTTCCTCAAGGTCCCCATTTAAGAAGGCATTGTTGATATCAAGTTGTTGTATAGACCATTTATGAGAGACAGCCACTGTGAGAAGAATTCTGATAGTGACAGGTTTGACTACTGGAGAAAAAGTTTCTCCAAAGTCAAAACCAAACCTTTGATGAAATCCTTTGGCAACTAACCTTGCTTTGAACTTATTCACAGAACCATCAGGATTTTCTTTGACTCTGAATACCCATTTGCAACCAATAACCTGCTTGCCTGGAGGAAGAGACACTAAAGACCAAGTATTGTTAGCTATCAGGGCATTATATTCAGATTTCATTGCTGCAAGCCAAGGTGGAGAAGAGAGAGCTTGCTTCACTGATTTGGGCTCTATATGGGCTAACAGTAAGGTGGGATTAAGTCTGGGTTTTACAATCCCAGATTTGGATCTGGTTTGCATGGGATGATTGTTATGTGGAGGGCTTGGAGGTGGAGGAGGGTTAGAATCAGATGATGAGGAGTGAGAGTTGAGAGTGTTGTCATTAAAGGGATTAGAAGGAGTTGACTCAGATTGGGAGGATGGTTGATGAGCAATTTGATGATCAGTGTTAAACTGAGGTGTAGTGGATGAAGATGTAGGAATGGATGAAGGATTGGAAGAAGAATTTGAACTGTTAGAATTGGATGTGGGACTGGTACTGACACCATTGTCAGAGTGAAATGGAGATGAATAGGAAGGAGAGTGAATTGCTATTGGGGCTGATAAGGAAACTGGGACACTAGGCGTTGAACTGGATGTGGATGGAAAAAGAGTAGTGTAAGGAAATTTGGTTTCATCAAAAACAACATCATTGGAAAGATAAATTCTACCACATGGAGAGAGACATTTGTAGCCTTTGTGATGAGAAGAGTATCCCAGAAAAACACATTCCTTGGAATGGTAGTCCATTTTATGTTTATTGTAAGGTCTAATGAAAGGATAGCAAGAGCAACCAAAGACTTTGAGAAAGGTATATTCAGGAATAGTACCATAAAGTTTGAAATGTGGACTGAGATTTGCAATAAATTTAGAAGGAAGTTTGTTGATAAGATGTACAGCAGTGGCAAAAGCAGTGTCCCAGAATTTGAAAGGCAAAGAAGAATGTGCTAGGAGACATAGACCTTTCTCAACAATGGTGCGGTGTTTCCTCTCAACAACACCATTTTGATGGTGTGTATGAGGACAAATAACTCTATGATTAATACTTTTTTCAGTAAGAAACTTTGTGAATGATCTGAATTCTCCTCCCCAATCAGATTGGTTTGACTTAATGGAGATGTTAAACTGATTTAGAATGTATTGATGGAAGTTTTGAAAAGCTAAGAAGGCATCTGATTTCTTTTTGAGAAAGTAGATCCAGGTATATTTGGTGAATGCATCAATAAAGGATATATAGTAAGTGTAGCCATCAAAGGACTGAATAGGAGCTGGGCCCCATAAGTCAGTATAAATCAGTTCAAAAGGAGAATGAAAAACAGTTGTATATGGGTAAGAGGGTAGCCTGTGAGCTTTACCCAAACAACATGCAGAACAAAAGTCAATAGCATTTTTATTGATATATGGAAGATTACAAAGATTCAGTACAGACTTAAGGGCCTCAAAATGAGGATGACCTAGTCTTAAATGCCAAATATTACAACTGGAGTCTGACTGAGAGTTATTACAAGTAGATACAAGAGAACTAGGAAACACAGATTTATGGGAATGGAACTTGGACAAATTTGAAGTAGAGTTGTGAGACCCAAGAGCTGCAAAGGATTGAAACTTGTAAAGACCATCTTCACCGAGTATTCCATACAGCAGAACCTGTTTAGAAACCTGGGATTTAACAAAACATTCATGAGGATGAAATTCAAAAATGCATTGTTATCTTTGGCAAATTGGCTGACACTTAATAGATTTTTGGTTATAGCAGGAACATGTAAGATGTTATTGAGAGATAAAGAAGGAGATGATTGATAGGGTGAGGGAAAGGATGAAAAACCAATATACTTAATTTCCAAACCTTGACCATTGCCCATAAATAGCTTATCAGTGGTAGCAATTGGCTCACTGTGTTGGAGATTGAGGGGCTCAGCTGTGACATGGTGTGTAGCTCCAGAGTCTGGGAACCAGTTCTGAGAATTTGGGGGTGGTCCTAGTATAGAAGAGTTTGCAGAAGCCCAGGCTGCAGTTGGTACAGTAGAGGATGAATTGAGTTGTGAGGGATGATTACTTTGCTGTGGATAGGGATAAGGTGGTTGGTTGGGTGAATATCTTGCTGTATTTGGAGGAGATAGTTGGTATTGATTTGAATAGGGATGTGAAGGTGGAGGTTGGTATTGATTTGGTTGGTATGGAGGCTGGTGAAGTTGATTTGAGTAAGGATATGAAGGTGGAGGTTGTTGCATAGGATATGAAAACTGTTGTTGCATAGGAGAAGAAGTAGTAACAGTATAAGCTGGATTGTATATGTGGTAACAAACGAGTGCACTGTGACCATTTTTACTACAAACTTGACGAGTAACTGAGCTTCTACCACATGAACGACCACCTCTGCCCCTATTGAAACCTCCACGACCTCTACCTCTGTAGGAGGAATTGACATTAGAGGTATCAAACTGAGCAGAAGTATCAAACTGAGCAACTTGAGCTGAAGCATTTTCTGAAGTGTCCTGAGTTTCAGTTTCAGTATTTTGAGAGGAAGATTCAAGTCGAGCAACATTAGCAGCAAATATTGTTTGTTGTGAGGACTCACGAAGTTTCTTCAGTCGCAATTCCTTCGCTAACAAGAGACCTTCAAGTTCAGATATAATAATAGGATCTAAGATACTTCGCGAGGTGACAAATGATATAAGTGACTCATAATCCTCAGGAAGACCTTCAAGGATCACACTTGATGTGATCCTTGGTTGATATAGGCTCACCGACAGATGTTAGGTTATCCACAATAGTCTGAATACGAAACAAATATTCAGAAATAGAACGATCACCTTTCCCGGTGTTATACAGTTCCGATTTCAGTTGACGAGTTCGCGTGATGATACTGGAGCGGAAGAAATTCTGAATTTCACTCCATAACTCATGCGAATGCTTGCAGCAGATGACGCGAGCATGAAGTGATTCTGAAAGCGAAGCTAAGAGCCAGGAAAACAACATTTGGTCTTGTTGCTCCCAGATGTTGTATGCTTCGTTAGCTGTTTTTGCTCCATTCTCATCGACTGAAAAACGATCTGGTATCTGAGGATTTTCTATGAATTTGAGAAGTTTATGAGCTCGAATCACTGATTCAACATGATGGCGCCAGAACAGAAAATTGTTTGAATCGAGTTTAATAGGTAGAGGATGATGAAAAATGATAGGCGAAGATTGATTAGCAATGTGAGAAGATGATTGCGAAGAAGAAGAGGAATCAGACGCAGAGTTCGTCATGGTTAGATCGAGCAATGCTCTGATACCATATTAGAAATGAAGCAAGGTAGAAGCAGAAATGAAATCATCTTAATTAGAATCAGATTACAGAGTATTTAATTATTTATACAAGCTGTAGTCATAGCTAGCATAACCGAAGCCTAACAGAAAGCAGTTACATTGCTTTTACAAAGAAATACACGTGTAGTTTTCCTACACTATTCCTAACACTGCTTAGAGTGATGATGCATTCTTAAGTATGTGAATATGTTTCATTAGTTGTTGATTATTGTACAGTTGTGTCTCATATCTGCACACAGGGAAATCTGAATTTGATAACTCAGGCATTGGGAGCTGTAGGATGTAAAGTACAGGTGATACCTGACCCTACAACTGTTCATTTCCACTTACCGAATGAACTTTCTGTCCGAATACACAGAGAATACACTGACTTCATTGCAGAACTTGTTAACAAATTTCCACATGAGAGGGAAGGAATTCTGAAGTTCTATGGTGAATGTTGGAAGGTGGGTTTTTAATTAAGATCAATTTAGCAGCTCTTTCTTCGATTTTAATAAATTTAATCAGTTTTGTACATTTGGCTGACATTGATGAGTTTGATCAACATGTTTGGGCAGGTCTTCAACGCCTTGAATTCCTTGGAATTGAAATCATTGGAGGAACCTCTTTACCTTCTTGGACAGTTTTTTAAGAAGCCCCTAGAATGCTTGACACTGGGTAATTATTATTTTTAATTCAGTATCTTATATACTTCTCTAATTAAGAACTTAATATCCTATGTTTAAAGCAGTACGTTTTACTATCACCCTATAGTCTTCTGGTATTCTACTCCCTCCATCCCACAATGATAGGCTTGGATGTGATTGCATGTGGATAAGGAAATAGTTTTTTAGTTAGCTGGAATTCAATAAGTCCTCTATTTAGCTCCCTTCTTTCCTCTCAAGGAATTTTTAAGCATTCCTAATCAAAATATCCTTGTCATGCCTCCTGTTTTCTCATTACAGCTTTCTATTTGCCCCAGAATGCTGGTGACATTGCTCGGAAGTTCATTAAAGACGCTCAGTTGCTCTCCTTTATTGACGCAGAGGTTAGTTAGCTTCTTTGCTTTTTAATACCCCCTTTGGTGTAACTGCCCTTTCGGACTTTTTTGTTTCACAATGTGTGTCATTTTAGAAAACAAAGTTAGTAAATGGTAATATTGTTAATTCTATTCTCATTCTTTTTATCCCACTTGATTTCATCCAAAAGGACACTTATGGTGAACTGAAGTAGGAATTTGCTTGAGCTTTCACTACCTTTATTAGCACAATAACTGCTTTCTTGTAAAAACTAATGTTGTTCTTCAGTGCTTCATTGTCAGCACTGTTAAAGCCTTACAAACACCAATGATCAATGCAAGCATGGTACTATCATGTTAACTCTCCACCTTCCCATCTTATTTACACCATTCCCAACTTCTTACTCTTACTATTCTTCCTTAGGTCCTATGTGACAGACATTTTGGCGGAATCAACTATCCTGTTGGTGGCGTGGGAGAGATTGCCAAGTCCCTAGCACAAGGCTTGGTCAGCCAGGGTAGTCAAATACTATACCGGGCAAATGTAACCAATATTATTGTTGAAAATGGCAAAGCTGTAAGATTCACTACACTTTTTGCTTCTTCTAAAGGTTAATTTGAATGGAACATTTGGAGAGTTAAAGAGTTTTGGAGGGGACGGATTCGGAGGGCTTAGTGTTGATCAATATACGAATAAAAGCTGATTGAAAAGTTTAATGATCACCTTTTTTTTACAACCAAATCAACGTTCATACTATTAGTAAGGTGACCGCAACCATCAAATACTTGGTAAATCTAAAGTTATAGTGATAGAGAGTGTTGAAACCCTAGTTGTATTGGGCTTAGCCCGTCTTGTATAGTAACCCTAGTGCTCTAGTTTTTTTGCTATAAATATAGCTACTTGTATAGTTCTTCACATCAAGATTCATTATAATGAAATACAATTTATATAGTTCACATGGTATCAGAGCCATTTATATGGCGCACTGTAGTTAGGACACTGTTTTTCCGGCGAGTATTTCTAGCGTGAACAGTAGCCGCACTAGGTGTTGGAGCACTTCCGGTAGCGATATATCAATTCTACACCTACCGCCTTGCTCAGCGCACCATCGCGACCAACCTGCCGGAAACCGTACCAGCTCGGACTCATTCACGCGCCTACACGCGCCGCCACTCTACCCACGGTTTACTGAACGATTTTGCAGATCTACTCCGTTTTACTCATCTGCGAGCGACACCGCCAAGGTTTTCAGACACCTAGGTCTCCGACGACTTAGACCAGTCAGTCCGGTACCCTTAGGCTTCTCCACGCGCCGCCGCCGCCGCCGCATCCACACGCGCCGCTGCCGATCGAACTGACCGCTAGAAACGCGCCGCCGGTCCAGACTCTCCACCATCCACCACCATCACTGCCTTCTGAGCAGACTTGTTCTGCTGCTTGTTCCACTTGTCACGATAGTGGTTCTTCCATTTCTTTGTTTTGTTTTTAAGCTTACTGTTCCGCTGCTGTCCATACGTTTGTGAGCAGATTAGTCACCTTACTGATTTGCCTGATCTTTTATTTGCTTTTAAAAAATGTCAAGTTTCTCTTCGTTTGCTTCAGTTCCAATCATCACCACCGATCGACTAGCTGGAAGTTTTAATTATCAGTCATGGGCTATTTCCGTGGAGATGTGGTTCAAGGGTCAAGGTCAAATTGATCACTTGAATGTCGATGCAGCTACGATCAAAGACAAGCGGAATGAATGGGAGAATGCGGATGCCTTATTGTGTAACGTGTTATGGCAATCTATGGATCCAAAACTTCATCCTACTTATCAATCATACCGCACATACAAACAGATTTGGGAAAAAGCGAAGGCCAACTACACAAATGACATTCCAAATATGTTTTCCTTTGGTTCCAAAATTGCTATGCTCAAACAACAGGATTTGGACATTCAAGAGTTTCTAGGACTGGCTGAGGCATTACTGTTTGAATATAATAATATTCAACCTATCACTGAAGATAAGGAGAAACAACTTGAGCAAAGACAACAACTTTTTATGGTTTTAACCTTAGCAGGTCTTCACCTAGAGTTGTTATCAATCTGTGAGCAAATTCTCTCCAGTTCTTCTGTTCCTACAATGTCTGAAGCCTTTGCCAGAATTCTTCGAGCCGCCCCAATATCTGTTGACGCATCTTCAAGTGATTCTATCATTCTTGCATCTCAAGGTTCAGGGCATGATGGGGGAAACCAAAAAGGATATCCACGCCGTAATCGCCCCAAGTGTGATTTTTGTCACAGGATAGGTCATACTAAAGATAGGTGTTGGAAGTTACATGGTAAACCTTCCAGCTCTGCCAATGTTGCCCAAATCCCGCAAGTTCCAGTTATGCTGCCTCCTGACGAATATGATGCTTATCAGAAATTTAAGCATGTGTGTCAAACACAACTGGCTCGTGGATCATTGACTCAGGTGCTTCCGACCATATTTCTGGTAATCCCCATCTTTTATCCCATATTACAAAACACTAAAACCTTCCATTAATCACCCTAGCCAATGGTCTTCACACTTCGGCTACGAGTATTGGGCAAGCACTCCCACTTTCATCCTTACCATTAGATTCAGATCTATATGTTCCTCATAGCTCTTTTAACCTTGTCTCTGTTACCAAAATTACACGCTCTCTTAATTGTTCTATAACCTTTTATGCTCACTCTGTGACTGTGCAGAACCGTTGTACGGGGAAGATGATTGGCGTCGGGCGTGAATCTCAGGGCTTGTATCATCTCCAACCTCTTGATCCAGTTGTTTGTGTCCACTGAACCAACACTTTCCTTACATAATCGTTTGGGTCATCCCAGTCTTTCCAAATTTCGACGTATGGTCCCAGGTTTCTCCAGTATTTCCTCTTTAGATTGTGAGTCGTGTCATCTTGGAAAGCAACCTCGTCAGTCCTTTCCAAGACGTGTCAATAATAGGGCTGCGTCACCTTTTGATTTAGTTCATATAGATGACCTCTCCCGTTATTAGCAACCTCGTCTACCCTAGGATTTCGTTATTTTTTCATTTTTGTGGATGACTTCTCCCGTCACACGTGGTTGTTTTTAATGAAAGAACGTCTTGAATTGTTTCATATCTTTCAAAAGTTTTGGGCTGAAATTCACACCCAATTTGGGCGTTCTATCAAGATTGTACGTTTTTACCAGTCCCTTTAATCAATTCATGACATCATGAGATATGCTTCATCAGTCTTCTAGTGTTTATACACCTCAACAAAATGGGGTCGCTGAACGCAAGAATCGACATTTAATTGAAACTGCCCGTACTATGTTGTTACATTCACATTCACCACCACAGTATTGGGCAGATGCCGTTCTCACTGCATGTCACCTCATTAAGGCCTTCATCAGTTCTTGGTAATGCCATTCCCCATTCTGTTTTGTTTCCTACTCGGACACTGTTTCCATTACCACCTCATGTGTTTGGGTGTGTTTGCTTTGTCCATGATACCACACCAGGAATATCCAAAATGTCTGCTAGGTCAATCAAATGCATCTTTCTTGGATATTCCCTCCTTCAAAAGGGTATCGTTGTTATTCCCCAGTACTTAGAAAACATTTTGTGTCCGCTGACGTCACTTTCCTTGAGTCCTCATTTTATTACCCATCTCCCCTCCATGATACCCCCTCCTGTGTCGACTTTCTTCCATATCTCAGACCCATCTCCATCCCCCTTACCGATGCTCCTATCGACCCATCTCCACCAACAACCTGTCCTTCACAAGTGTATCAACGACGCCCTCGCCCTCCACTCAATGAGTCTTCTGAGGTCACGCCTGTTGATTCCCTACTCCGGATCTCACACAAGCACAGTCAGCTACCCAAGTGCCAGAGAACAATCATGATGATTTGCCCATAGCCCTCCGCAAAGGTACACTCTCAACTTTGAATCCTCATCCCATTTATAACTTTTTAAGTTATCATCGCCTCTCCACCCCTTACTTTGCCTTCACTTCACATCTATTTGGTGTCTGTATTCCTAAAACCACACATGAGACATTATCACACCCAGAGTGGCGTCGAGCTATGTTAGCTGAAATGGAGGCCTTACATTCTAATGGGACATGGGACTTGGTTCCCCTTCCTATTGAGAAATCAGTTGTTGGGTGCCGCTGGATATACATAGTCAAAGTAGGACCAGATGGCAACATTGATCGTCTTAAAGCACGTCTGGTTGCCAAGGGGTATACACAAATCTATGGGATTAAGCTACATCGACACTTTTTCTCCTGTTGCAAAAATTGCATCTCTTCGTCTGATTTTATCCATGGCAGCAATGAGCCACTGACCATTGTTTCAATTGGATATTAAAAATACATTTCTCTATGGTGATTTACATGAGGAGGTTTATATGGAGCAACCACCTGGTTTTGTTGCTCAGGGGGAGTCTGGTTTGGTTTGCAGATTATGTCATTCGTTTTATGGCCTGAAACAATCCCCGCGTGCATGGTTTGGGAGATTTAGTGTTGGTGTTCGTGGTTTTGGCATGACTCGGAGTGATGTAGATCATTCCATATTCTATAGACATTCTGCTGGCAATAAATGTATCTTTCTTGTTGTATATGTTGATAACATTGTCATTACAGGTAATGATGACCAAGGAATTGCCCAACTCAAAGAATATCTTTTTAGCAAATTTCAAACAAAAGACTTGGGAAAACTAAAGTACTTTCTTGGTATTGAGGTTGCCCAATCAAGAAATGGAATTGTGCTCTCACAGAGGAAATATGCATTGGATATTCTTGAGGAAGCAGGTATGTTGGATTGTAGGCCAGTGGATACACCAATGGATCCAAACGCCAAGCCCGTGTTAGAACAAGGTGACCTCCTGCCCAATAAAGAGAGATATAGAAGGCTTATTGGGAAGTTGAACTATCTTACCATCACAAGACCAAATATTTCATTTGCTGTCAATGTGCTTAGTCAATTTCTTGACAAGCCATGTGATGGACAGTGGGACGCAGCTATCCGAGTCTTGAGATACATCAAGAAAAAGGACAAGGATTACTCTTTGAAGATCGAAGGCACCATGACATTGTTGGATATTGTGATGCAGATTGGGCTGGATGTCCAATGGATAGACGTTCTAAATCTGGATATTGCATTTTGATTGGTGGGAATTTAGTTTCTTGGAAACAAGATGTGGTTGCCAGGTCTAGTGCTGAAGCAGAATACCTTGCAATGGCCCTTGCTTCATGTGAGATATTATGGTTGAAGCATCTCCTCCAAGAATTAAAATACAGAAGCATGAAACCCGTCAAGCTAATGTGTGATAATCAAGCTGCAATGCACATTGCTTCCAATCCAGTGTATTATGAGAGGACTAAACACATTGAAGTTGATTGTCACTTTATTCGAGAAAAAAATCACAAATGGACATATTACTACTCATTATGTCAAAACAACAGATCAACTTGTAGATGTTTTAACCAAGTCTCTTAGAGGACCTAGGATGCAATATATTTGTAACAAACTTGGTGCATATAATTTATATGCTCCAGTTTGAGGGGGAGCGTTGAAACCCTAGTTG